ACAACTACGAGACAAAATACGAGAACACGCGAGAATAGGAAGGCTGATGGAGCTAGCTGAGGGTTGACCTTGGTTTGGGGTTCTTTTTAATCGCAGGAAGGTAACTGAGACAAAAAAATAAACACATCCGAAAGCTATACTATAAAACAAGGACTACCTAAAATGAATGCTTTACAAATTGCAAATTTACACAGATCTCAGTAATCTATGCAGGTTTACGTTTTACTTGCAGGCATGATATAAAGGGGATTTAAGTCCCTTAAAGGGGTTTTTCATTCCCTAGAATGGTTATTCTGCATGTATTCTGCCAATGGGCATGTGTACGTACGGTAGCAGACATGTTAGATGGGCAGAGTGAATATCAATCAGATCATTATCAGATCAATGCATTTCTATTTTGTTGTGAACAATCTAGACAAAAGAAGAATTTTAAACAGACAAGATCATCTCATTCCAAATACTAACTAGTCAGTTAATTATTAAAATTTCTTTCGAGCATATACAGTTTGGGAATTTCTAATATATAGAACAGAAAAAAAATCTTTTGATTTCCTAGGGAGGGGAACGCCACAAAGTTTTGAACAGTATCTTCCAGGTGACTGCTCACTCCTATGAATATAAAAAATATGCATTCCAAACTTACAAAGAAGATACTTGTGAGAACTCACTTTTAACATTTAGGAAACACTTTTGTGTTTATTTTAATAACTCTGTGGTTGTTTTAAAGCAAAAACATGCACAAGATTTCATGGTCACATTATCTGTTTTTTCATATACTTTTAAACACTTGAAACTTTTTTAAAGTTTTCCTTTCTGCAAAAATTTTCCTTGCCTGTAATTAGCCGAAGACCTGTATTTCAGAAAAAATATGAGGATGATCTATTTATTATTTTGCATAGATTAATAAAAGGACAAAACTTGCTGAATGAGTAAGAATTCTTGGCCACATACAACTCAAAAAATCCTTATATGCATAGAATTCAACTTCTTTGATTAGTCAAGAGGTACCTTAAATCTCATTTTTTATTATGCTATAGGTTGTAGTCTCTACGGAAGTAGAAAAAACATTTAAAATAATGGCCAGCAACAGAAAATCAGGTACAAAGTGTCCACCTTAATTGAAGTAATGACTATGATTACAAGACAGTGGGAAAATAAGCTCATAAACTATTATAAAGGCTACTTAAATAAAATGGGGGGGTTGCTATTATGTATATTTGTTGTTATGATTGCCATGTCACCTTTTCTGAGTCTGCATCATTAACTGTACTCTGTTGTGGTAGGAACTATATGCATGTGCAACACAATAACTCTCTACTTCAACTGCTATAAACCTGAATTTCAGATGTTTTAGTCCTCTGTGGAAATACACAATTAAGTACATAACAATTTAAAGACAATAATCTTAATTTCCTATTTAAGAATAAAGAAAAAATTAAACTAAGGATTAAACTAAAGAAAGCATAACTGCAGTACACAGCCCACAAGTTAAAATACTCAGAAGGTGACAATTGCTTGATAGTTAGCCCAGACAGCTGATAAATGGTCCCTAGTTCACTTTCAAGTCCTTGTATTACACCCATGAAATTAATCTTTCAAATCTTTACTTTCCTCAAATACAGATTGAATTTCACCCAAGATTATAAAAATATAACTTTCACTGATTTCTGAATTTCTGGAAACAACTCAGCCACATACATATGCAAGTGAGAAAGGATAAAACTTTATCTTTTTATGTTCTGGCTTTTGAGGGTACAAAATTTTGTCTGTAGGGTTGCAAGAATACTGTTTTCATGAGTATGTAACACAGCAGCATTTTTGGCTTTATTTACATCAATGGAAAGCCTTCCATCAAAGGCCAGAACTTTTTTTAAAAAGGTGAGTGATGAAATGTCAGAAAGTAAGATGATTGATCCCTATTTTAAGTTGCCTAATGCACTCCATAATTAGAAGGAATATTTTCTTTGGAAAATTCTACCATCTCTACTATTTTTACAGCTCTTTATTATTCACAGGGAGAAATCCCTCAGTTTGCAGAAGTACCTTGCTTCTGTGCCTCTGAATTCAAAAGCATGACCTCCTATCACCTGTACTTCCCAGGAAAAGCACCGGCAGCCTGTCCAGACCCCTCAGCATTTTGACGTACCAAGCCTACAACTCCCTCACAGGGCTCGGATGGGGATGCTGAAGAGCTGACTGATTAGTTACACCAAGGGGAATCGGGCTACGCTAGAGTCAACGTTCCCTCTTGCCTTCCAGACCCAGTACGTACCACTGGCATCCCATCTACCCGGTGGCACGAGAACAGGCACTCCTCTAACTCCGACCGCACAGAGAGAGGGGCAGAGAAAAAACGAATTACACAGCCGAGCTGGCATTCCCAGGACCCAGCACCTTATTTCGGTTCTAGAGCAGTAGCTCCCTCAAACTCCACGTCAAGAGAGAAACCCAGACCAGGCAGAAACCCAGCCATCACCTTCAACCCCAGACCAGGGCTCCAGCAGCCAGCACTCTTCTTCTGGGGCAGGAACACCTCACCTCTCAACACTGGGGACAAGGCGGGCACTGAAATCAGTCTCCTCTTCTCTCTTGTAGGTCTACCACACGATATCAACACTTCAACAACCTCCTAGGGAATAAACCTTCTCCTGCACCTGGCTTGTCAGCCCTGTAGCTGAAGCCACTGAAGACAAAGCAAAATGCTTTGTCTTCGGTTTTGGTTTATGACAATATGGTACATAAAATAACCTGTCCTCTAAATGAAATTTAAATGGCAAGATATGAAAGTTGGTACTAAAAAACCCAGAACACCATTTATACTGCTAACAAGAAAATTAAGATGAGTAAGCACTGTTTAATGGCTGTTCACAGAAGTAATTTAGTCATTGGAATACACATATGACCTTTAACAACACAATCGTATGTTTTTACGGTGAACTTCTAGCTCATTCACTTCACAAGTTAAACATGAAAGGAGCTGAAATAAGTTCTCAGAACAAGTGTAAAGTTTCCATCCCTGAACTTCTGAGCAGTTGATTTAGTAACCTAAATAATATTATTGCAATGCATTTTTACATGATTGCAATCTATTTTTACATGAATTTATTCCACATTTCGTCAGGTAAAAAAAAAAAAAAAATCTGTCTAAAATAAATCCAGACAAGCATGAAAGATCTCCTACTGAGGTCAAGGGGACTGGATATGAATATCCGAGAAGAGAATTCAACTCTTTAACCCTGTCTTATCCCTCCTGTAGTTTACTTCAGTATTTATTTTCTATATAGTTAGCAACGTGATTATGTTACCACTACACAGCCCTTTGCATCCATAATCCTGCCACTCGGTGATCCTGTTACAATTCCGCACAGGGAACCCGGATAAGAAGCAGCCCATCTGCTCTCCTCTTCCCGCTTGAAAGTCAGAAACCTTGTGCCCAAACCCCTTGTGTCTAACGGTGCTGACCACGTGGTTCCCACTCACCCGGCCACAAACACTAACGGAAAAACATTTCTTCACTATGGGGAGAGAAGCATCAGTGGTGGGGAAGGAAGTTTAGGAAAGTTACCAATGACAAGAGACAGCCTTACTGCAAACGAATCCACTGTATGCTAATGTCATCCCTCTAAACAGACACCCTTACATCACCGATGTATAATTCATTTGGAAAACTCTTTGTTCCCTCTTCAGTGACTTATTAATGATTCATTAATAAGCTTTGAGAGTAAGAACAAACAGGTGTGGAAGATGTTGCATTCAAGAAGATCTTAGCACCAGCCTACCCAACTGAAACTGGCATCTTTACTCTCTGAGTACCAGATGATGAAAACCATGACACTACCCGGAGGCTTCAAGCTGCCACTCACGGGCTGTCTCTCTACTGCGAGATCACAGTCAGCTTCCATATCTATAAACAAGTCACAGCAGAAACCTGTGGCTGTATCCCAGCCCGAGGTAAGGCTTGGCCATGCACAGTTCCTCAGCTCCCTGGTATCCGACGGAGATGAAGAAGGGTACGCAGGCTGGAAGGGAGTCGTGCCATGCTACACTGTTCCTGACCTGGATATCTGCGGAATCAGGTCTGCACCAGCCCCTGAAGTCAAGCACTGCCAATTTTGTACATAATCCCCTTACTTTGAGAGACAAAAATTATGTCTTTATTTAAAAACTGAAAAGGCATGTGCTCAAACTGTGTTTACAAACAAGTCTGAGACAGGGAGTCCTGCCTTAGGGAAGCTTTCATAGAGAACTGCTCACAGTTTAGAAAATAGCAGAAGAGAAGATACATAGACATCTGTCCCATTGCTTTTGAATAGATACAATTAATTAAATCAGCGTGTGGAGCCTTTTGGGTTGAACAAGTAATATTTTGTCAGAGGGTTACAGCAGTAACACAGGTACTACCTTAATTCTGGATGCTTAGGTACATTGTAGATTCCTCTATACCTGATAATTAGGGGAAACTTGCAGCTACTAACAACTCTGGTCCAGCAAAGTGACTGACAAGTCTCCTGCTGCCTTGGTACTGATAGTATCTTCACTTCACAAGGCTATGGTATCATGGCTAATCCACAGCTAAATTCCACAGCGCATTCTTTCACCTTGCTTCAAAATCAAAGCTGATGGTAGGTTTTGTAAGTGGCGTAGTGCCCACGGCATTATTAAGACCAAAAAAAGTCTTTGACAACATGAACTTTTCCTTCCAGTTGTGAAAAGTTTGGGAAAAGAAACTAAAATTTAAAAAAAGTTTTGTAAAAAAGGAGAAAGATACCCCCGGTTTTCCCCTCAAGGATAAGCCAATTCCCAGCATACTTAGCATTTTGACAGACACAGAACAGTTGTATTCCACTTCAGAGTGTTGTACAAACACAACAAGACTGCAGCCAAGCTTTTCCACCCTAGGACGCTACACACAAGGAATCAGTGGGGAGAAGGCTATTGGATAATGGCTAAGCCAGATTCTCCCCAGCCACGCTCAGAAATCAGTTTCCTCATTTCCTTACCCTCTGTTTCCGTAGGCTTCCTGGGCTGGTGGGAGATGGGCTTGGAGACTTCCCAGAGCGGGGAGTAGAAAGCTGGCTACCAGGGGTTCCATTCACTAAAAGGGCAATAAATTGAAAAAATAAATGCAAGGCATTATTAAAAGCAAAGAAATAGTTAAATAAACATATTTCGTTTCATTCTTTGTTGAACAGATTAATTTGCTTTTGCTTAATGTTTTAAACATAAGCTAATTTAAAAATAAGGTCATTCACAAAAGAACTGTTTCCTCAGAGTTTTGGCTCATGAAGCCAATTTTTATACAGAGTGCAAGCAAATAATCAACAAACCAGAAAAGACTGCTTAGTTACTGCCTGAGAACATGATCATGTTTTCTTAAACTGTATTGTTCCGGTGCTTGAAAGCGATGGGGAGCAAGGTGCTTTGTTAACCTTAACAGACACTTGCTATATGTAAAGCTTTTCATTCCATTCAGTTATGGCTTGAAATGCTACCCACCAAAAATAAAAAGCAGTACTGCTCGCAAGAACAAATCAGCTGCTTGCTGTTCCTCACTCATTCACTTGAAAAGATTTTTGCAATACTATCTGACCCAAACATCACCTCAGACTTAACCCAGACGAGCTTTCTAGAGGCAAATAAATTGGACCTAACACCTGAAGTCTGACTTACAGCAAGGCATCACTTTCTCAAATAAGTAAATGCCTTCATCTATGTCAGTGCCTATCATGTTAGAAGCATCTTTTGCATGCATGTGACATTATCCACTAAATTAGCAAAACAATACCAGCAGAGGACAGAATTCTACTACAAAGTAATCACACGAGAGGCTATCAATAAAGTTCACGCTGAAGCACTGATAGAAACACTACAAAGCGTGTATCACATATATATGTAAATATTCTTAAACAAGCAACTGCTATATCATAGTCCACGTTTGTCAGCACCAGGAAAAAAAGAACCGACAATCAGATTCCCAGATTCTGAATCTGAGGAGAATATTTACATACTAGGATATCAACAAGGCATTTGACTTACCTTCTATGAGTTCTAACATGGACAAAATCTTACTGTTTAACCTGATAATAGCAAGCAGCAAAATTCCTGCTCTGCACTAAGCCAAGCTGTAGCCAAACTGAGAAGCAATGGGATTAGTTAAGGATAGCTGGGGCTGCTCACAGAGTGAGCTGAATGCGATGCAGGATTCATAAGCAGAAGCCTTTTCTGCGTAAGGCTGACGTCTTCAGAGCAGCAGTGGGAGGTGCAGGTGCTGTCTTAGGGCTACATCAAAGGTGTCAATTAAGCATAATGCTGCTGCTTCACAACGCTGAGCCACTGCAACCCCCACTCACTTTCCATGGAGCCCCGAAAGCCTAAGTAATTTTATATGCTGTGCACTGAATCATAATGAGGTGCCTTTGGGGGCAATATACCAAATGACTCATCCGAATATCAGAATGACAATAACTCTTGTAAAACCTTGGCTGACTGGCAATCTAGCAAATGCTAATTCCTTTGGATAATACAGGAGGCATTTTTAATAGATTTCCTTACTTTTTACGTAATACTTTGTTCTCACTGGCTAACACTGGGCCCGCACAATATAAGGAAGAAACATGTATACCTACCTCGCCACAGTAAAACACATTACTCTGCATGATAAATAATGATCGCTTAATAGTGCTTAGGTGCTATGAGTGACCAAATCTCATCATCACTTTGTGCAAGGCATTGCTTAAGGTAAAGGTACATTATATTTGTATAACCATAGGAACAACAAGATACACTGAGTGGATTTAAATAGGCTGCTTTTCTAGAAAACCATTCCACTTATGTAGGCTTTGAATTCTCTTTGTACGGAGGACAACGTTTGTACAGAGGTTTGCACATATCAGCACTGATTCAAATGCTGTACTAAGTGTGTGTGGGAAGGCACATGCATATGGACACATTCACTGAAGTTCATACAGTATTCAGCAAAACACCCCATAGGCCTGGCCAATAATGACTAAAATCAAATTTATTATCAATACTTCTGAAATCATTAAAAATGAGCTTTTTGGAATCTCAAACTTCTAAAGTTTTAAAGGGCTTCTTATAAACAAATATGGTAGTATTTAGAAACCAATATAAACTACTACTATTCACATGGAGCTAGTCCTCAAGACTGCTAAGTAACTAGACTAGTGCTCTGCCTTCTCTTTAAACCAAGCAGATATTCTTCGGTCTTATTATTATGAGAAAATTTAAGATAACAGATACACTTTAATACACCTTGTAGCACTCGGCACCGGTTCCTGTTCCTTATAGATTGACTCCTTCCCCATAACTTTCAACAAGAGTTTTTCTTCGAATTACTGTTGCAATTATTCTGTCCTGAAGACAAAGACTTGAGGCTACCAAGTGGAACCAGACAAACAGATGCAATAGTGTATTTGACTCATGATGTATTTCCCACATGTACCATGTTGATGAATATCTATTTGAGACAAAAAAACCAAAGTATTATAAACCCTAAAAATTACTCACTTGCCACCACCAGAGTACCCAGAGCATTTAAGCTAAGCTCCAATGCTCTCCCCAGCAGCATTTTCTAAAAAGGAAGATTATGATAGTTGTGCTGTGTTGGCTGTCTGTAATATCTGAAATCAAGAGTACAATTAATGCATCAAGGCCCTCAGGAAATTTAAGTGCAGTTTGCTCACCTCCTTACCCACATCCGAAATACAAAGGTGCTAAGTACCTAAAACACATACCAGGATTTTTGTGAGCCTACGAGGTCTCCCTATGGAGAGCTGTTTAGGTAAGTCTAGAGATGACAATTAGCACTGGGGACGAGATTTATTTTACTAGTCTTTAGGTACCTGTTGTATTGGCTTCTCTATCTGAAATAATTTTCTAGACCTTATTTTAACCAAGTTGCTGTCACAGCATGAGTTGTATCATCCCCAGGCAACCACCTCCAACAGACCTGATGAACAATGTACTAAGAGCATGCACTGCAGTGTAGAATTCTAAAGCTGGGCAAGATGAAGCCAAACCCATGCACCTAGAGGTTTAGGATATGCTGGAGATGAAGCAAAATCATCAAAATTCTCCCCACCTACCAATTTTGGTGGATTTTATTCCAAGCGCAGAACTCCATTAAATAAACTCTGATGACTGAAGGCCATACAGAGTCTATGTTAGAGTCAACCTGAAGAGGGACTTGGGTGACGTGGGTTCCATTCCCAGCTCTCTATATGCATCTGCACAACATCAGACAAGTCATGTCACCTCTACCACCTCTCTACTTAGGCTTTAAGTTCTGGCAGAATGAACTCTCTGTGCACATCGTGTTGTCTGTCTTCTGGATGCTCTCCATACCTAGAGATATACATTATTATTACTACTGATATTATTAATGTAATGCTTAAGACAGACATCGCAACAGGGAAGAAATGGTAATTCCTAATAATTCCCCAGTCCACTCCAGGGGCCCTCCTTTTTTATTTTTCTTGTTTATGGCTTGCTGCCCATTCCACCTCTAACTCTACTTCCTTGTGAGTCATTATACTGAATTTGCAAATAGGGTTGATATTAGGTGCTGTGTAGCAGGAAGAGACTGGACTGATTCTGATCCCCTTCCTGAACTCCACTTACAATCACAACACCATTCTTACATATGCCACTCCTGACCAGATAACATGGCAACAAATATGTGACTACAATCTATAATATTTAATAATAACGCATTCTTGGTAAGTACAGGAATATAGTCTAAACTGCCCTACAATCCATTTCTAGGTGGCATGCATTCTGGTTGGAAACTGCATTCCTGTCCAGTGTCTGCACTGCATTTCTCACTGACTGATACAGCATATGTTCCTACAGGGAATCTTGATGTAGATAAAGACATATGAAATTGGTAAATCACTGTTGCGATTAATCATGTTATTGAGTGAGGCAAGAGGTTTCTTGTCACTTTTTATTCATGAAATGGCAGGGGTCAGAGACTTCAGCTTAACACACAGCGCCCTCCCATCGTCCCATGAAAAAGATTTATCCGTTCAAAATTTCACAGGTGAAAGACATATTAAAAAGCTAAAACAATTACAAAAGTATTGTGGCTTCTCTGAGCAGACTTTTCCAACTGCTTAGCTGTGAACTCCTGTCCTTACTGTCCTCTCTTGCTGAGGCTGCATAACAGGGCAAGACCCTGTCTTTGTATTAGTTTTTCCAGCACCTGGTACACACATGAAGGTAGAAAACCCCACAAAATAGAACACTAAAGATGGATACCATCGTCTACTGAGATAAATGCAAAATAGTTTTTCATATGATGATAATTATAAACTTGTGAAAATGCTGTAAATAAAAAGTATTTTGATGGCATTCCAATAAATAAATTTTGATAGGGCACCTTTTTATTAAGTAATAAAAACAGAAAGTGAGAAAAGCTGAATTAAAGTATCAAGTGCCAGTCTGAGAAGCTGCCGATGCCACTGCACTGTATTAAAATCATACTCTCCTATAAAACTGCCTGGTCCCGTGTTAGCATCTTGTACTCTATAATAAACATGTAAAGATGAGACTGTGTGTTTACAAAAGTGGTTTGCCAAACATGAGAGTACGTGTGAAGAGGAAAGAGGAGACTAAGGGAAAGGAATGGTGCAGGCTTTTTCGCAGCCACAACTTACTCACAACTAGGGCAGGCTAGACTAAAAGATGTTTTACAGAAGTCACAAACAACATGTGTAGGCCATATTCAGCAACTGCTAGCTGGAAAATGGTGATGCGGGATCACTACTTGACCTTGTCTCAATTATTCGTGTCATATGTCACTGTCCTTTCCGAAACAACGTTTTTGTCTCAATAAGATTAAGTAGTTACAAAGTAGTTAGGGAACAAACCATACCTTGCCTTTTCGATCCTTCTGCTTTTGTATCCTACTTGTACGTATCTTGTCATTTTTGTCTTCAGTCCAAAAAACAGAGTTTGTCCAGAGCACCACATTAAGCAAGTGCCCTCATTATCACTCCCCAGTAAAGGCTTTCTAGGTTCTTCCTTAGCATGCAACTGGTTGAGGAAAAATCCCAAGTAACCAGTACTGCATTC